ATCCCTTACTTTTGTACCTTGAAATCTATTTGGCACAAAGAATACAGTAGATGTCACTGCTCTTACAAAAACTCTGTAATGGGGCACCTGGATGGCTCAGTTGGTTAAGCATCTGACTTTGGAAAAGGTTATGATCTTGTGGCTTGTGGGCTCATGCCCCATGTCAGGCTCTGTGCTGACAGCTCGGACCCTGGAGCCTGCTTTGGATTCTGTGTCTCCCTCTCTTTCTACCCCTCCCCCGCTCATGGTCTGTCTCCCTCTGTCTCTCAAAAATAAATAAAAACGTCAAAAAATTTTTTAAAAACCTCTGTAATGATTTTTCATTGCTCATAGAATAAAATATACAACTTCTTTTCCATGGTATACACAGCCCAGTAATGATCTGGTCCTGGCCTATCTACCATTCTTTTTCTCACTATACTGTCCATCTTTCTATTCCTCAAATGTCTTATCCTTATTTCTGATTCAGGTCATTGACAAACATGACCTAGAACCTCTATTTAGAACTTTCTTCCCTCTACCCTGAACATTTGGCTCCCATTCATTCTTTTGTTCTTGGTTTAAATAAATTATTCTTCAGATAAGTCTTTTCTGATCACCTTGTCTAAATAGACCCTCAACCCCAGTCATCTTGATCATTTCCTTCACAGAATTACACATATTTTGTAATAATTTATTTTCTTATTTACTGTGGCTCTCTTGCTAAGCTCCAAGAAGGTAAGAAACACTTTGACTTTTTTCTTCAATATATACTCAGCACTTAAGCAAGGATCAAATACAAAGTAGGTGTTCAATATATGTTGAGGAGGGAATTTAGTAGTCATCTCACTAGGATTTAAAAGCCTCAAAAAGAGCCTCAATAAACACTATTTCACTGAATATCTGCTTTTCTTCACACTGCCACATTAACCAAAAATAGATTAGGTCCTTACTCTGTAGCAGTTACAGCAACAAACTCCAACTTTGTTAAAACTTTGTAAGTTAAAAGAGCTGGGAAATTAAAACATTAGAAAGCCTAGATGAAAATTAAATAGTAACTTTATCCTAAATGAATAAGGGAATAAACAGCAAAGGCTATCAACAAGAAAGTAGACAAGAACAATTATAATAAAAATAAACTTCTGAAAAAACAAAAACATGTTTCAAAGTAACAAGAAAAGCAATAGATTCAGATAAAATTATCATTATATAGATGTTGCATACAAGTTTACTAAAGAGAAACAGGAAACTGATATAACCCTAAAGAACAATTCTTACACTTTAGATACAAATCACTGACTAAAAAAAGGCCAGTTCACCAATGAGGAAATGGAAATAATAAAACAAGCATTTTATGAACTATTTCTCATATTCCAGGCAATATGTTAGTCCCTGAAGAAACATGAGACTTCATGTTTCTATCGCTGTCCTAGTGAAGTTATATCCTGAGAAGATATTCCTGTTTAGTCCTGTAACTACCTAAGAAAAAAAGCTTAAAACTGGTTATGTAAAGCTAAAACTAATGATTATGATTTATATAAATCACCATAATTTATTTAAATTACTATACAATGATTTACAATGCTTCACAATCACATTTATGCATACTGCTTTTAGATCAATGAATTTAGAACCAGCTGTTGAATAAGTCAACATTCATTCAATAAGCATTTACAAGACACCTACTGTATTCATAGGTTCTGAGGCTAAATGAGTAAAATATAGACCATGTCCTGATCCTAGTTCACAGTCTATTAGGGAAGGCAGATATATAAATAAATAATTTATCATCAATTTGATAGGTGCTAGAGAAAAAAAATTAAAAATGCTATTATAAAGACAGAGGCAGTGGTAAGAAATTCTGCCTGAGGATGTCAGAGAAGACCTATTGGAAAGAAGAAAAATGAGAGTAGAGAGTGATATTCCAAAGAAAATTACACAAACTAAAAAGGGGCATAGGTATACTTTGATGTAGTTAAGGGCAGATTGTGCACAGGGGGTATAGCTGATTCCTAGCTGCAAAGTGAGGCAGGCACTAGACCCTACAGGCCAGGGGTGCATGTGAAAGTGTTTGGATTTCAAGCAAGAGTGATTTGACCACATGCTGTATTAAAGAAGAGAAAACTACTCAGAACAAATATATGGAGAAATAATTAGAGTCTGAGACTACATATAGAAAAACCATTTAAGAGAAAGAATGATAAGGTTTAAAATAAAAATGAGAAGAAGCTGGGATGTGAGTGATACTAAGAAGTCAGAAATAACAGAACTTAATAACTAACTAATGGAGTATGTGAACAAAAGAGAGGAATGAATGTAAAATGGCCTCCTGGTCTGCACCTCGGGCAAATGGTTATGGTGTCATTAACCAAACGTGGGATAGCAGGAAAGGAGACAACCTAAGGATTTGGAAAATGTTCAGTTCTTTTCACAGTTAACAGAATTCTAATTTAAACAGCCATGTGGCACAGTCTTGCATTAATTAAAATAGAGTAAATTAATAAAAATGACTATAGTCATTGCTGTGGGGTATTGGGGGAAAAGATATACTAATACACTGCTGCCCTACAACCTGGTGAAGTCATTCTGAAAAGAAATTTGGCAACAAATATGAAAGCCATAAAAATTATCATATACTTTGACCCAGAAACACAACTTTTTGGAATATAGCCCAAGGATATAATTCAAAAGAAATAAAAAACCTATTTGTATAAAGATGTTTATAGCTGTGCTATATATTACAGACAAAAACTGGAAACAACCCAAATGCCCAGCAGTGAGGGAATGTTTAAGCAGACTTTGGTACATTAATGCAATGGAATATTTCATTGCTATTAAGAATGACAAATATGAAAACTATGTAGAAATAATAAAAGGGCAACATAAAGCAATGAATAAAAAATGCAGAACTCAAAATGATGCATATAGAATGATCATAACTATGTAAAACTATATTGGTATAACCAGGAGGATTGGAAAAGAGCTGGTAATTTAGAATGCTGACATTTTTGTTATTGTTGGTTGAGTTGCTGGGAATGTTTATGTGTTTCAAGTTATAATTCACTGTATTTTTATTACATACACATTAATAAAGATAAATTTCCATTTTTTCTGGCATATAAAATTTTAAAAAGTTCTTATCAGTACCTTTCCTTTTCCCTAATGACTTTCTCTATTCTCTGGAGTCCTATTAGTTTTTGGATGTATGGGGAAGTGGACTCCATATTCCATGACCTCCTAACTCAGTTAAATCCCAGCCTTTATAGTCATTCATAGCACCATGTTCCTCTCCTTGTTATTGTCTTAATTTTAAGATCAGCTAATTAATCTCCATGTCTCCCTTACCATACTGTATACTCCATGAAGGCAGAGAAAGTATCTGTTTTTGTTTATGATTACATTCCTAGTTCTGAACATAACACCCAGAACATAGCAGTTACTCAAGGAACATTTGCAGGATGAGTGAATTGACCCTGTAGGCCATGTTAGTGAAAAGGCATTTCAGTACCATGAAATACATTGATTAAATCATTACGGAAAAAGGACAATCCAAAAGAATAACTACATGGATTAAAATGATAGTCACACACCTTGCTTTATTATATATTATGAACTATGAATAAAGTTCTATACATGTGATTCTTATTCCTCAATTGTAATACATAAAATGAAATCAACCTATTTCCATCACAACCCCCTCCCACACACACACAGAGTAATTTTAAAGTTCAGTGAAAGTATGCAAAAGGAAACCAAGAGCTGAATTTGTGGGTAGGAGCCAAAATCATGAAATTGTTGTGTAAGAAAAAGGGGAAGTTGCTCTTGAGAGACAAGGGGAGAAAAGAGAAGGATGGGGAAAGGAGAGCTGAAGTAAGGACTTAGGGATTCTTTGTAAAAAGGGAAGTGCCTAAAATTAAATTTCAGGTTATTAATGTTGTTACACTGTAAATCTGTATGCTTTCCCAAACCTTCAATAATGTCTGCTATGTTAATTACCTTAGGTCAAGACTAGGGCACCACAAAAGGAGGAGAGAGAGTTCTAAGAGCCATTAAGTCACAAGGGCTATCCTGGAGGTTAGCCAAAGGTTTCTCTCCTCAGATAATTTCTCTTTGTATTCATATGGCATTTATCTAACCTCATTTAGAATGTGCACTTCACTGGAAAATGTCTCACTCATCTTTGAATTCTCAGGAATAACCATATTCATCCCAGAGTATGACAGGATGGCACATAACAGGTGGGTCTTGGTGCATACTCTGTGTTCCGGGGGAACTTCTGACTCTCCCCACTTCATAGTTGCCACCCTTCCTGCTTAAGTCACATCTCCACTTTGGGTCTTGGATTCAACATACAGCCTTCCTCTTCTTCAGCCTTCCTCATAACATTCCCTCAAACATTCCCTTTGACCCTATATAACTGGACATAACCTGCATGGGTTCAATTGGGCCTGGCCCACCAGCAAGACTGGGCATAGTGCCTCATCCATAACCAATGCTTAAAATGATTATTAGATTCAGTCAAAGTAATCACATGGTAGCAATTCTCTAGAATACCTACTAATGAGTCTATCAGTTAAGTAGTGCTTGAATCTACAAGTAGTAATAGTGATTCTCAAATTTTTAATCCAGCTCCAACGGCCAGGGTTATGTTAAGGTTTACTTTCTATAAGAGGTCACAAGAATACAGTAATAGTATTTTGACTTTTTAAAAATATAAAATGCTATCAAATGCTTTAATATTAAATGTGTTTTTTAAAACAATGTAATCCCTTCCAACCTGCCCAAGAGATTGTGATACCCTTCCCCAGTCCCACCACCTCCTGCTGACTGTGGAAGGCCTGGAGAGATGAGAAGTTCTTCTGTTGTTTGATGGAGAATCATTAATTTAGAGTTGGGGAAGTCACTATGGAAAAAGTCTCTCCATCTTTCTTAAGACTACAAGTAACCAGGAAAAATACAAATACATTAATCCATTACACTTATGAATAGTGTCATACGAACTGCTAAAAAATATGACCTACCCATCTAGGAGGGCAATGACGTTCTTCCTGGGTCGCCCAATATTAGGGCCATACAAGCTGGCTCTGGAGTAAATCCGGATGGGCTGCAACAGGCTCTTCAGCTGGATGTAATCCTTTCCCAACTGGCTGCCATTTACTGCCCGGCCATGCATGGTTCGATAGTTATTTGGCTCTAGATTAAAAGCAGACATGCAAGTCAGAGTTGAGAAGGGTAAGGCTCTGCCAACCTTTTCCTGTCCACATATCTCTCTGCTTTTTTCTTAACAATGTGAATAAAATAGCCAAAAAGAGGGTGTGAACTAGTTTAACTCGAGGAACCATCATAACAAAAAGTCAAGTGCTATTTTACCATTCTCCTCATTTTCAAATAGTCTTTCAAAAGATCTCCTACTCCACAAAAGGGAGACCATACTGATTTTGGGTGATACTTTATAATGAATTATAATGAATAATACTGGGTTGAATATTGTCTCCCAAAGTTCATGTCCACCTGTAACTTCAGAATGTGACCTTATTTGGAAATAGGGTCTTTGAAGATGCAGTTAAGATGAGGCCATATGGGATCAGGGTGTACCCTAAATCAAGTGACTGGTGTCTTTATAAAAGAAAGGAGAGGGAGGTTCAGGTACACAGACATACTGGGAAGAGGGCCATGTGTCGACAGAGGCAAAGACTGGAGGGATGATGTTATGCCAAAGATCGCTGGTAGCTACCAGAAGCTAAGAGCAAGGCATAGAGTAGATTCTCCCATAAAGCCTCCAGAAGGAATCAGCCCTGGCAATGCTCTGATTTTGGGCTTCTGGTTCCTTGAACTGTGAGAGACTAAATTTCTGCTGTTTTACACCACTGAGTTTGTGGTAATTTGTCATGACAGGCTTAGGAAACTGATATAAATGGTAAGAAAGCAAGGCTTTATAAAGATGGTCATTGTACCAAAAAGAAAAATCTTGGGGTGTCCGGGGAGCTCAGTCAGTTAAGCATCCGACTTCGGCTCAGGTCATGATCTCACAGTTCATGCATTTAAGCCCCACGTCAGGCTCTGTGCTGACAGCTCAGAGCCTGGAGTCTGCTTCAGATTCTGTGTCTCCTTCTCTCTCTGCCCCTCCCTTGCTTGCACTCTGTCTCTCTCTGTCTCTCAAAAATAAACAAATGGTTAATAAAAAAAAAAAGAAAGCAAAAGAAAAATCTTAATTTTCAATAATAACAAAGTGGCTGGGTTAAACAATTTAGAGTACAACATCCTCCCTCAGTTTCTATTAACTTGGTGTTCTAAAAGGGCAAGGAAAATCCTAAAAACCAGCAGCTCCACTGCTGGAAAGAGCTAACTTGATTTGGAATGAAGCACATGCCCCAGGTAAGGCCAACACCTTGGTTACCTACAAGTTTTGATACTGGTAGGGTCAAGAAATTGACCAGCAGACTTGCTAGAAATTTAACAGGGAAATTTTGGGAATAGGACAGTCACAGTGGGCCTTGATAAGCCCACACATACCCTTTGTAGTCTGGAAAGCTGTGTGTGCTCAGTAGACTGGAGAGGGCACTAACTATCCATGTACTGACAGATGAATGTGAAACCTAGCACATTCATAAAGGAGACATAACAAAGCATGTCAAAAAGGAAAAGTCAGTGAGAATTGTAAACTGTTTAAATTTGGAATGTGTTCCCCAAATCACACACAGATCCACTGGCAAAGGTTAGAAGTCTTACTGGCTTAAGGTAAGCACAACCTCTAATCAATCATTGTCTCACCATTAAGCTATGATGACTCAGGGGCAATTTTTAGGAAGCTGGCCTAGACAATGATTAAAAAATAGAAAAACAAGATATATCAGCAGCTATAAAATGCAAAAGAGACAGATGCTACACTATTAGTCCAGGTAAGTTACTAAACAAACAAATAAAAAAGAAACAACAGAAACAACCTCTGAGATGGAGGATTTGGAATCTAGAGTTGTTCCAACGTATTATTTAAAATGTATAGTTTTCAACAACAACAATATTACATCATGGAAAGAGATAGGACAGAGGGATCCATAAAGAAGAAAAAAAAGGTAGTCAATGGAAACTGTCTCCTAAGGGAGAAGGACTTCAAAACTACTATCATAAATATGTTCATAGAACTAACAGGAACAATACAAAATTAAAGGAAAGTATGATTGTATCGACTAATCAAATATAAATGAAGAGAGATATTATAAAAATGATCAAATGAAAATCTGGGACCTGAAATAACTCTTCACATACAGAGGAACACAATGAAATTATCAGCTGAATTTTTACCAGAAATAATGGAGGTCAGAAGACTGTAGAATGACATATTCAAAATGCTGAAAGAAAAAAAAATTGGCCAAGAATTCTATATGTAGCAATCTATCCTTCAGACCTGAAAGCAAAATTTACATCTTAAAGATTTTTTTTTTAAGTTTATTTATTTTGAAGTGCAGAGCCTGATGGGGTGCTCAAACTCACAAACCACAAGATCATGACCCGAGCAAAAATCAAGAGTCAGATGCCTAACTGACTAAGCCATCGGGTGTCCCAAAATTTAGACCTTAACCAGAAAAACAAAGAACAGAACTTGTGAGAAAATCTGCCTTACAAGAAATAAGAAAGGAAGTCTTTTAGGTTGAAAGGAAATGATACCAGATGGTGACTCAAAACCACACAAAGAAATATAGAACACTAGTAATGGCAATTACATAGAAAATATAAAAGATAGTTGAAAATATCCATTACTCTCCTTTTTTTAAGTTTATTTAATTTTGACAGAGAGAGAGAGAGAGTCCATGGGGCTCAAATCCATGGACTGTGAGATCATGACCTGAGCCAAAGTCAGACACTTAACCAACTGAGCCATCCAGGCACCCCTCCATTACTCTTTTTTAATGAATTTGAATAATAGTTGCATAAAAACAAAAATTATAAAACTGTGTTGTTGGGCTTATGACATATGAAAATGTAATGTTTATAATAATAATGGCTACAAAACAGAGAGAAATGGAGTTCTATTGGAGTAAATTTTCTATAGTTAAGTGGAATTAAGTTAGAATTACTCTAAAATAGATTGTAATGAATTCAGATATATTACAATAAGAAATTACTAGGAAAATAAGTAAAACAAAATAAAAACAAAGAAATTAAAGTGGTACATTATACAATATCTCTTCTGCATAAAAAGGCAGTACAGGATGGTACAAAAACAGACACTCAGATCAATGGAACAGAATAGAGAACCCAGAAATGGACCCACAAACATATGGCCAACTAATCTTTGACAAAGCAGGAAGGAATAATCAGTGGAATGGAAAAAAGACAGTCTCTTCAGCAAATGGTGCTGGGAAAACTGAACAGTGACAAGCAGAAAAATGAATCTGGATCACTTTCTTACACCATACACAAAAATAAACTCAAAATGGATGAAAGACCTAAATGTAAGAAGGAAACCATCAAAATCCTCGAGGAGAAAGCAGGCAAAAACCTCTTTGACCCTGGCTGCAGCAACTTTTTATTCAACACATCTCCTGAGGCAAGGGAAACAAAAGCAAAAATGAACTACTTGGGACCTCATCAAAATTAAAAGCTTCTGCACAGTGAAGGAAACAATCAGGAAAACTAAAAGGCAGCCGACGGAATGGGAAAAGATATTTGCAAATGACATATCAGATAAAGGGTCAGTATCCAAAATCTATAAAGAACTTATCAAACTCAACACCTAAAAAACAAATAATCCAGTGGAAAAAATGGGCAAAAGACATGAATAGACACTTCTCCAAAGAAGACATCCAGATGGCCAACTGACACATGAAAAAATGCTCAACGTCACTCATCATCAGGGAAATACAAATCAAAACCACAATGAGATACCACCTCACACCTGTCAGAATGGCTAACATTAACAACTCAGGCAACAACAGATGTTGGCGAGGATGCGGAGAAAGAGGATCTCTTCTGCACTGCTGGTGGGAATGC